ACTTGATATTTATTGTTGCAAAATACTACATACCATGCTCTCTTTCCACCAGGCCATGGTCAACGAAGAAGCCTGAAAGCTCACATGCTTCCTCTGCATTCAACGTCCGAGTGACATAATTGCAAGCACAAATGAATTCTGAGCTGCCAACAACAGTTCACACATTGCTGTGATGCGACACCAACCATATTCAACGGCGAAGTTCGTTCATTTGGGTTCATCTTTATCAATGTTTGTCAGTTGACCTCCACCTCGTTGACTCAGGTCACTGTACACTTGCTTGGTTGCTTCCTTTTTCTTTCTTACATAAGTTGACTATATTCGCAAATGTTTCTGCTGAAGTAGCATCATGACTTGTGCATGGTATAGATGGCAAAATATATCTAATGTTGGGTTTATTGAGTAGTGTTTGTGTTTGATGTAAAGGTGCAAATGATGTGGATTTTGTTCATTTTGTGTTTTAGTAGCTCCAAATCTTGAAACGTTGATGTTTTATTTTGGAAGGTGAATTGAGTGTTGTTTATGTGTATCTTTAATCTTCTTTTTTTTCATTTTTCTTTTTTTTTAAATTATGGATTTGTTTGTTTTGCTCTGGGATTTAGATGTTGGTGGTGTTGGATTTCATAAAATTGATCATTTTATTTGTTGCAACGTACTAACTAAAGATATAACAGGAGGAGGAAGAAGAGGAAGGAAAATATAAATAAAATTTAAAAAATACATTATTCAATAGAATTTGACTTTAGTAAATCAAAGACTGTAGATTTTAGGAAAAAAGTTATCAGAAAATATTATAAATTTAATCATACCGCAGTATTTCTAATAAGCACATTATCAATTCGATTGAGTTTGATATGCATACAAAAATAAGATAAAAATAATTTATTGGTAAATATATATATTTAGTTGAAAAAAATAAATCCTTAAATATATATTTCTTCATTTTATCAAAAATAAAGAATTAATTTCTTCTAATTTAAAGTAGTAATAATTTTTAAATATTCAACTACATTAATAATACATTATAAAAAATACATTATTTTTGTACTTTGCAGACAATTGAGAAGTTTTATTATCATAGACAAGGATACTAACTAAAAAAATAAGATTTAATACTAAAATTTATATGAGTTATTGGTAAATATAAAAAATTATTAATTTGATAGATTAAATCCTTAAATAAAAAGATTAACAATAATTTTAGAATGAAAAGTAATACTACAAAGATAATTCGAGATTAATACTTAGAAATCAAGCTATTATTGTAATACACCTATAATATGCTATTTATTTTCAAATAAGTTAAAAACTTGGTATCAATGGATATGCTATCTATAATTTTTACTTAACAAGGTCTAAGGTATTTTTGTTAGAAATATTACAAAAGACATATTAAAAAGTCATAATTTACAATCCTGAAGATAATGTTTATATAAAAATTATTTTATTTTTTAACGTGACAATGAAAAAACATTTAAGAATAAGAAGCATATTTTTAATTTTCTAGTTAGAGCAATGTACAAGTCATATTATTGTTTTATAAGATAAAAAAATACAATACTTTGAATTTGATAATGATGCTACAGTAATTTCAAATTAATAACATATTATTATATTCTATGAGAGAATAGTAAATTTCTTATATATCATTTACAATTCAGACTTGAAAACTAAAGATAAAAATAGATCGGATTGTAATATAAGGTGATTTGTTTTTTTTCGAGTCTATTTGTCTATTTGTTTGACTTACTACTTTTTTATAAGAATTCCATTGTCTGAATGTAACAATTGGCTATTTATCGAAGTATTTATCAACATTACAAGAGATCAGAATATCATAAAAAATTAACCATGGTGCAATAAGTTATGAATGCTAGTGACATGTGACCCAGTCAATCACGACACATTGTTTTTTATTTTCATTTTGTAGTAATTAAATGTTAATTGAAGTTTTGTACTTCTAGTTATCGAATAAAAACCCAAAATCATAAAGATTTCAGCTAAGGTACAAACAAAACGTTTACATTACTGTCAAAACGCCTAATCCTAAGGCACCTTCACACACAAGAAACTAGACCCCAATGAAGCTATTATCAGATCCCTCGCACTTTCAAACGGCGTCAAAAGCCACTCTCAGAGCCAAACTTTACACAAACTTATATTTTGCACCACTTGGTCTTCAAGGGGTGGTTATATTCACCATCTCTTTAAGGAAAATAGGTGTTACTTTCCAAAACCACAGAGCCAAGTTACTACCAAAGGCTCCGGTGGAACAGCAGAACCTGGTAAAGTATAAGATCAGACACTGCATTGCTGCTGCTGCAGCAGCGAAGTGTATAAACCCAGTGCTTGAAGGCAGTGGGGTGGGTATGGAATTATGTGCAAGTGTGCTCCCGGATTCCAGATGTGCTGTTGTTGCTGTGGCTTCCGGAAGCCAGGGGAATGATAAACTGGTGGGCAGGAGGACCAGGTCCAAAAAAGTTTCTCATCGAGGAGCATCCGCTGAGAGATCGTGACAATTTAAGATGCTTGAGAACTGCATCAAAGCTACAGAACTCACCGTAGTCGTCGTCATCGTCGTCGTCGTCGTCTTAGCCTAGCACACTAGGCTCATTCAGGAACAGGCAACCATGTGACCCACTTGGTAATCAGAACATTCGTACAGATCCAGAGATTTGCAGTATGCTATGCGCCTATAATTGGCGTTCATGGGGGCCAAAAGCAAACGAACTATCCTCCTGGGAGAACGGGTCCGCTCGTTTGGCAGCTCCTGGATTCTAGAGCGCACATGCTGGACTAGTGCATCCGTGAGAGCAGGACCAAGCTGCCTAGTTCCCCTCCAGTCGCTCGCTGGGGCAATGATTTAGGAACGGTCATGGTGGATAACAGTAATTAACCCTTCCCAAAGTAAAATAGTCTCCTGTTGGATTGTATCCGATCACAAAAGTAGCCACACCTGCCACCAAGTGATATGTCTTCCACGTTGACTCCACCTTGTCTGACAGTCAGACAGCTGTGTTTTCATTGAATGAAGTGTGCGACTGATGCCAAGCTTTTGGTATCCAGAGTGTTCTTCTGTTATGAGCTAAAAAGTCCGCATGAGCAGTAACTCCGTAAGGCTTGTAACTGGGCACTTGTAGCTTGAATGAAACTCAGAGTTCAAAGACAGCATATACTACAGGCAAGTAGGTTTGTAACCAAAATTGAAGCCGTATTTTAACAGTCTCCCTCTCATCACTGCATATACAAGCTGCCCATGTGTGTGCAGGAAGGAGTAAATTCGCAGAATCGTGGTTGCACTTTGGAGTGATCTGGACACAATCCCCGACTTGCCTCGCCTGGAGGTACTTTCCTAGCGGTACTTGTCTCTACTCTGTTGTCGAGGGCGACTGCAAAAAGTTCAGATGACCAGCAAACCCTCTGGTTTTATATCCCAGGTTGCACGATTTGGATTAAAACACTCCACCTGCCTTCCGTAGTACACAAAGTCCACTGACATTCATTGTCCCGCCACTGCTCGTTTGTCTCCGACGCTTCAACATCATTGTGAAATGGCAGGATCCTAATGCTGGAGTAACTCTCTTGTAGTTTGTTAGACTGATATGCGAAATCCATGCGACTGGCAAAAACAAGGAGGAAAAGACGGCGAGATGAAGACAAAGCTGAAAGTGAAGTGAATTTGTCTACTAATGCTGTTATTACTGAAGACTCCGTTGAAGCTAGCAGGGATTTCTTACCACAGGATGCACCAACTGGCAGAAGATTTACTCTAATAAGAACGGCATTTGGGCTCGCACTGCACTGCGTACAGACTGATGGTGTTGTACCCTCCAGGTTGATGTAACTTAATGGCGACTCTTCGTAATCTGTAACTGTTGCAGTCTTACACAAGACTGGACGCTGGAACTAACCTTTGATGATTCAATGATGGCCAATAATTATGGACATGGAATTCTTGCTGTCTGCACAGATTGGTATCTGAGCAACCAAGATTGGTTACTCACAGATTTTCTGCGAGCCCGGAATCACCCTTAAACAGAACCATTACGCCCTGCCCACTTGGTAAAAGCATGATACTTATCAGAACTCTCGAGCTTTCAGTAGATACGAGTGTAGTAATTCCGGTGGCAGGGAAATCTTTGACCTCGCTAGAATTACTGTTATTAATCCGAAGTATGTGAACTTGTGGGTTTTAGCGAACGAGGACAGAAGCGACTGTCAGTGATATCGATGCTCGCAAACTCAGTTTGACATTTGAGAAGGATCTCACTCACCGCAACAGAATTTAAGTTCAAATGGATTTCAGCTCTGGCAGCTAGTAATATACAATACTATCAAGGTGATGGTGAGTTTCATGCACATATAACATGTGCAGAGATCATGCAGCTATGTAAAGTGAAACCTTCTACGCAAGACTTTGCCGAGGTCATTTCCACTCGACAAAGCTCTGCTGATGCAAGGCTTGTCAACTACTTAAGAACTAATGAATAGATCCTAGTGCCGGACAAAATGCTCTGCAATCAGGTTAGTGACAAGCAAGGTATTATCATGTAAACCTGCAGCACTGAATCAGCTGGGATTGCAAGCACTTGTACCAGAGCAGTGGATGATTAACTCATGACCCCAGCAATGGCTATGACAAGATCTGGATTGCTCAGGAATCCCAGCCCTTTTGAGCTAGAATTAGACAACGTAATATCCAAAACACATGCTCACCTCATGATGGTTAACACTCCACTGATGTAATTACATTGCAACAGCCATAACTTCAGAGTATGTGTGTAACTAACTCTAGTCAATGAGCTTGAGAAGAGCAAGGACAGGGCAAAGAAGTTTCTCAGAGAGAAGCATAGTCAATGATACAGCCTGCACGACTATTTAACACAATATTCCAGTACAGAGGAGCGAACTAATCATATTAACTATCATAGAACAGCAAAATTGATTCAAAGCAAGACATGAGTGCACAATCAACTCTGAGAAAGACATCGCACAACCAATTTCGAGGAACGCGTGTCATATTTATTGCAATAATAAAAATCAAAAAAGACGAGGCTCAACAATTTAGTTGCAGCACTTTGATTACACAATTGGTCAACAAGGGGGCCATTAGAGAGCAGCCTCCGGGTGAGGTCTCGCACTAGCTCCATCCATCTCTATTGAATAGAATTATCATAAACCACGGCGCATGATAGTGCAGTGAAAATAATAAGGTGTTCTCGATCTCTTTTCTCAATCCGTCTCTTTGTCACAATTTCCGATCAGAATCTTCTCAAGTTCCATGAAATGCTAGCAGCACCATCCAATGCACAAGGAGGCGTGTCTTTACAAAAGTCGGGCTAGGTTTGTGCAAGCCTGAAGAAGAAGACAAGATTGCCAATTGAACCCAGGGGGGATGGGCCATTGACAACCAAGTTCGAAAATCCTAGTTATGTACGTGAACTGGTAATTAAGCATACTCTAAATATAGTCCAATGGAAGTATGCATACACGGCAAAAAAATAAGGAGTCGTCCGCATCGAATCTGGTCAATTGAGGCTAGAGTACGCTTGCAAAATTATCGTAGTAGGAGGAGGTTGCGGGACGGGTTATGTCCTATGGTGTCCAATCTTCAAAAACGCCGACAGCAAAAACCTTGCCGGAAGGTCTTCAATCAAAATCGGCTGCAAGGGATTAATTCTCTTCACTGCAGCTACTAATCCTCGATCGAGTCATCATCAGCACATCATAACCAACCGAATAAATCTACATGATACACTACTTGATACACTGCAGGATTGCTTATTCTAAGAATGAATTGCCAGAATTTTTGGTGTTTTCTTCGCAAGCTAGAAGTACTTCAGCCCTGTACAGAGATTCAAGGCCACGAAAGACTTAGCTTCGGAGGATTCAGGACGCTCCCACGCCAAGGAAATCGATAAATGGAACCGGTGCAGAGTCGGGGCTACTCTGTGAAGGCTCTACTTCGGAGAACTCAATATCGTCAGACTTCTCACAAGTCCCCCACGAATTCGATCCCAGCTTCTTAGAATTAGAAATGTCCTTACGCAACCTTTCCCGCAACTGTTGCTGGGCTTGCCCAGCCAGAGGTAAGAGCATCCAGTTGCCGAGCTCTTTGGTTGTGTCCTGCCTGGAGAAAGCTGGCGCAATTCGAAGAGAAGGACTGGCCTCACGCTGGTGTCCACTTCGGCCCAGACTAAGCTGTTTTTGCATCTCGGAGCGGCAGGAGACGTTGGAGTAGGATTTGTAAAGCTCATCGCCCTTGTCGCCATTAGTCGGGTTGTTGCCGAATGGGTTGGGAAGAGAGGGTCCGCCCCACCGACCGGCGTACAGGCTTCCTTGGAAGGTCGTCTTCAACCCCACAAAGGGACTTTCCGGGGTTTGCAAGTGGAGGGAGCCTTTCTCCGCCCGCGCCTCTGCCACCCGTGTTAGATGCTCGGAATTGATCGAGATGTCCATGGCATTGCTCAGCAGCGCCTGTTGGTGCTTCTCAGAACTGCATGACCCTGGTAGGTAGGCTGGCTTCGAGCCTGCACACCGAGAAAACCCATCCCTTTGTTTGAGATAAGTGCAATTGAGAAATTGATTCCAACTAGACGAAAGCATAGGTATCGAAGCATGGTCGTCTCCCAGACTAAACCTGTGTACCATACTGGACCTTTGCGTTACACTCGTCATCCATTGATTGGCTTTGCGTCATGAGATAATTCTAACTGCATGAACAGCAATAGAAGAATTGAAGAGGTCTAGCTGAAAGAATGCACCTCCAATAGCCCCTCCTAAATTTGGGAGCAGGGAGGGAGCCATCAGTGGCACGCTTCCCCCGCTGGAAAACTTCGGCGATAAGCTGGACGTTTCACAAAGATTGCTACCCACACCGGAGACTTGTTGCAAATTGCTGCTCGAGACTTGCGGATTAGTAAAGGTGCTAGGAAGTGAGGTCGGTGATCGGCTTCCGGAAAGAGAAGCGCGGGGTTTGGCGAGCGCATCACCTGAACCATCACAAGCTTCGACGGATTGTTCCCCTGACAGAGCGTATTTTTCAATCCACGCTGTGAGGGAGTCCGTGGAGCCGTGTTGGTGGTTGCCACCTGAGTTGGAGGACCGCAGCTTGCCTCTGCGATTCACCTGTGTTTTTCGGCGACCGTAGACACGAGAGCGCTCACGGAACTTTCTCGCCATGACGACGTGCCAATGGTTCTTGACGGCGTTGTCCGTGCGGCCGGGAAAGAGGCGCGCGATCATGGCCCATTTGTTGCCGTGGAATCGGTGCGCTGCAAGGAGACGGTCCTCCTCCTCCTCTGTAAACGGACGCCGGTTGATGCGAGGATCCAGCTGATTGAACCACCGCAGCCTGCAGCTTTTCCCTGCACGGACAAACCAGGGAGGGGTTACTCATGTTTCGGCCGACCTATACACTTCAGATGCAACAGTCTTACTCGAGCCTCGAACTTGTCATCGACATAAACATCAGACAATAAACAGACTCATTAAGTGCCTAATGTTCGCTTGCAGACGCTACATTAAAGCCAATCCAATGTGACATATTAACCTCAGATTGTTGAACCGAAGACACGAGACTTAGGTTGTGTTCTAGAAGGCACACCTCTAAGGTCCCTATTCCAGAGTTGCCAGATATTTCTAGGATATCTGATGTTCAGTTCCAGATTCCGATCCGATACACAATGAAAATTTCCACGGCTTCACGGAGGAACGACCACTAGTAACTTCAACAGGGACTCACAAGCACCTCACAGTCCGTGTATAGTGCTCAGTTGTGGACTAAGATCCAGACATTTGGTGGGATTGTTACCTGATCGGCCTTGAAGCTTTTCGGCAATCAGATTCCAGTTCTGAGGACCATACTGTGAAACAAGCTCCCTCAACTTATCGTCCTCCGCAGGACGCCAGTGTCCGCGGGGGCATAGCTTCGACTGCACACTCTCCCCATCCTTGCTCAGAAAACTTTCCATATCTTCGTTAGACTCCTTCATGTCATCCTCGATGCTCCCGTTCTCCATGTCGTCGTCGCTAGAGAGCTTAAGCCCCGAGGAGCTTTCCACGGACTGCAGACACCACGCGCGTTCGTCGGTGGCCATGATCCCTAGTGCTTGGAAGGGGATGGACTTGCTAGCGGGCGTATCGGACCCCGAGATAGAAGTTCGCTCGCCGTCTGTGGTCGCAGTCTCGGCGGACGAAAATGCTCTGAAACTGGGTCCACGGACTGCGTCTTTGAAGAGCACCAAATTCTGCGGCCACTGGCTCAAGCTGTGCGCAACCTTGCCCGAGGAGAATTGCATCCTTTCAGTTTCCTCTGCAAAGCTGTGACTGAGGCCCATGACCTTGGTCGCGCCGGCGGACCATGAGTTCCCCCTATCCTCCATTGTCACCATTATGATTGATTGTTCCTACTGAGACGACTGGTAAGTTATCGACGTTGACGTTGCCAACTGACAGAAGAGAGAGAGCATACCCGATACATAAAATTTCGTCTCTGAATTCGTGATGTTCACCGACATGCCAAAATCTATCTAAAGAACCATGGTTATTAATCAACGCTTCGTGTAATGTGACGAAGGTGGAATCCCAGTGGACTTGAGAATCAATCGCAAGGCCCTCTTAGTGTCGAATAAAAAACCTGAGCCTGTCCACAAACAACCGATGGTACAAACGGCCCAGGCTTCAATTCATGCAAGCTCTATAAACCCACAATGAAGGTACCGGTGGTTACGTTGTTCACTCATCTCCCAACCCCTTCCAAAAACTCTGGAATCCAGTTTGTAAGAAAGCACTTGATAAATGCATGCATGCGCGTCATTACCGCAGCTTGATTTCTCCAAAACTCAGGGAAGCCGTCTCTAATCCAGTTTGTGAACCTTCCACCTTCTTCTTCTTCTCCTTCTATGTGTACACGAGGAGATCGTCACTCTACAAGCTCTAAACAGTACAAGGGACTCATATACATCATCTGTACCACGGGATCGTCTTCACAGATATCCAAGGTAAAGAATGTGTTCAAATCCAGCACACTTTTTCCTGAGAGTGAAAATGCATTGCCTACCCTGCCGCTGTTTATTCTGTTCAATACCACGCTGCCATCGCTGGTGCAGCTTAAGTATCTCACAGGCCGAAGAGACCGATAAAATGAAGATCACCAACCGGGCCGAAGTACCCGGTACTTGAATTCAAGTAAACCTCACGAAGAGCGCGGTGGTTGTACGCTAGAATTTCTGAGAAACCGTCTGGCCTGCTTTCCATTTGCACGAGTCCTAGAATGATGCCTCTTTAAGCCCACAACATCTACCGCTGCAGGCGGCGTCTGGTCTGTAACGGAATGGTCTCAGCTCAACAGCTTAATGAAGCGAAAAGCTTGCGGTATTACTCTAGTCACGCTATACTAAGCGAGAGCTTCTGGTGAGGATCAGAGCTTAGATAGGACAAGTCGGGGTGGAACTGAGAGCTGGGAGGAGGGGCATGAGAGCGAACGCAAGAGCAACTGGGGCGCCGGTACAAGTACCAGCAGCGTCATCAACCAAGCAGCGGCAAGCTTACACAACCCACAGTCCCGAAGTGAAACGACGACAAGGGCACACCAATGAATAGAAAAAGTCTGACATCGCGAGGCGCTGGAATCAAGTGAAATTCTAATAAAAGCTTGATGGTTTCGATACTAGGATCCGGGCGGGTAGCCTGAGTTTGTTTGACACACGGTAAAAGCTGAACAGTGGAAGATGAAAAGAGGGTCGAGCGAAAGAGAAATGATCAGGCTCCAGCTTTGCCGAGCCAATGGAAAATTCCATCTCAAACGGATGAGCAAAGTGAAGCACAGCTCACAGACCCTCCGTGTAAGGGATTGCGAGGAGCTTGCGCAATCTAAGGGCTTGGGGCGATGCTCTCGAGAGGTGAATCCAAACTCCCATATCTCAACGTGCACTCCGCACTGCAAGGTTCGGGTGTTTGCCTTCAATTTCGGTTTTTACTGCTGGCTGCCTCAAAAGAGGACTGTTGATCAATTGATTGCTGTCGATCTCTACACCAAAGATAACTCAGGGCACCATCATGAGTCCCATCCGTGCAAACTTCTTTGTCCTAACACCACCAGGTCAGGCAAAAACACATCAACTCTCCACTGGAAAATCATCCATCAACTGTCTTGGTGCCCAAGCTCCAGGCTCCCTGCCTTGGAATCATAAAGGCCCTTCAGAAAGGAGACCCCTCGAGACTGGTCACCGAGGTACATGCGGTAAATTTAGGAACAAATAGATATATATATATATATATATACAACAAAATGATGTGCTCTCTCGTTCATGGATTGGATCATGATACCCACCCCACTGACCTGGCTGGTGGAAAAACAGTCAGAAAGATTCCATGCAGTGATGATGGGCAATGAACAGAGAACCTGCAACATACGAATCAGCAGCAACGAAATCCAGGCTAACGACCGAGCTTCTTCTTCTTCGTCGTAAAATGGCAGCGTAGCTGTAACCTGGTGCATTACCCCGAAGTAACGCGTGTTGACGGACCGATCCATCCCGTTGTTTATTTCCCTGAAGATTGGCCGATGGTACTAGTAGTAGTAATAGTAATGGCTCAACGGAGAGAACCATATCGACGACGACTAAGAAAACCATCCACATTTCCAATTAGCCATTACTGCAGGCACTCGGCGAATACAGTGCCCTTCTTCATGCTCCACCCCTTTGTCTACAGTCCCAGAACAGCGACATAACCTTGTCACCGTCAGCACTCTCGCCCGCACGCAAAAGAATTCCCCCAAATCTCTGCTCCAACAAAAATCTCCCCGATCTGTGCCGCGCCCGGAATTAGCGACCCTGCAGCAGCAGTAGTCTGGTTGACTTACACCAAGCCGCAACACACCTGTGATGTGCATGTGATGTTTTGTCAAAGGAGTTTTAGTGGAAAAAGATTGAAAGTGGTGATGAGTGAACATTAGGTGTGAAATTTATTTTTCTTTTTCTCTTTTTTGTCTTTTTGGATCTTGACCAACTTGATTAATGGGATTGTGTGGATGGAGTTCTATAGTGTGTTGATATGGTGCATAGAGTTGTGTTGTGATGTGTGCTAACATTTGGTGTGCATGGCACGCAAAAAGAATTGATTTGTTATCCCAATTTCTATTGGAGATTCAACAACAAAATTTTATCTTTATATAAGCCAAAAAAATTATGTTGCAGAATCAATTTAGATGTTTTCAACTATTTTGAACTTGTATTCAACAAGAATATAAGTCAATGTCATGTTGTGGCAACATTTTATTTTCATGTCTTGAAATAAAGCAGTATATATATATATATATATATACATACACACACACACACACACACTGACACACACACAACTAAATAGGATGCCTAAGTTAAGTATTTCCACTAACCGGATCCCACAAGAGACTTTTTGAAACATGTAACAAACATGGATTCACTCCATTAATATTATGAGAGATGTCACAATTCAAGGGTTCCAATGAATGAAATCATCCATTTGCAGAATGTGCGTACCAAAATTACAAAGGAAGATATATGGATGAATTTCATCTCACTGTTCCGCACAAAGCGTTACACACACAAATGCAAAGGTTGGGCTATCACAAGGAGGTGATCATTGAGAAATCACCACATTCCCACCTAACTCGTGGAGCTGTGACCTCTCCATTCCTGGATCAGATGTCCAACATCCATCATATAATTGGAGCCGTTATTGCCCACCCCCCTTTGGTACATCTTAGATGCACTTTAAATGCTTGTAGGTGGAGTCTAAGAAACTTGAGGAAAAAGAAGAAGAAGAAGAAGAAAGCTCTTTGTTTAAATAAAAAAAATAAAAGAACAAATTGAAAGGTTGATAGTCAATTCAAACTTACATTAAATACAAAACATGTATCAAAGTCAGAAGTAAAATAGTGTTATTTGCACTTAACAGTTGAAGTTCAACTTCAAATGCTGTAAAATCCATGGCCCCTTTGTTGTTCTATCTTTCATGAATTTCCATGTCATAAGAAGTTCCCTTAATTATCACCCCACAAAGTGACACCGTGTGAAACTACCCATATTTTTCATTCATCCACGAGGAGTGTATTCATCGAATAGTCGAACAAGGAGGATGAAAAACGTCCGGACTTAGGGCAAGAATTAACGATCCCGTTTCAAACAAACGGGTGGGGAGGGTCAGTATCTGCCCGTTCCAGGATATGGGCAGAGGACTTACAGTATAGTATCTCGGCGTATAGAATGTTCCAAACACATGAACCGCATTTCGAAACATCCTTCTCGTATTTTTACACGAAATACGCGGAATTCAGCGTACGCGGGAGTAGGGATAAGGAAAAACGAGAAGCCTCCTCCTCCCCCGCTAAGTTTAGTAGGGTCAACGAATCCGAGTGGGATCCTTTGAGGAAGATTTGGGTGTTTGTTAGCGAAGTTTAGGGCTAAAGTTGGCGCCAGAATCCACATGGCGACGGGGCTTCAACCTCCTAAACTTAGGGGGACCAATATGATTCCTTCATACCCCCCCCCCTCCTTCAACGCCCTTCATTTTCCTCCAAATACGACTCCCCATCTCTCTCCCCCTACTTTTTGTCATTTTCCATTTGATGTTTCTAGTGATGTGCCCATGTTTGCTGGCAGCTTTGTTGACCACTCTTCGACGAGCTGAAACTTTGAAAATGAAAAATTGAACTTAAAAAGTTATTTTCACCCAAACCATGGGCTCTAATCACACCTTTCAATCGACCCCTTCTAAATGGACATTAAAGTATTAAGAAAGTAAAAGTGACGAGACTAGGGTATAGGGCGAGGGTGGAGCCATGGCGTCATGCCATGTCAGCGTGTTCGGACCACTAGGCTCGGATTGTGGACGATTTCCGTTTGGAAAGTTTCGCCCCGCTTGGGGAGCCTGTACCGGGCAGCGGTGTTCTATTTATTATTATTTCAATTGTAATTTTAGGGTGGGATTCGAGATTTGGGTGTCCAGGGTCCACTTTTGGAGGTGTTTGAATTGGAAGCCCTGGACTCCGAATCACCAGCATGTTGGTACTGCGACGAGTTATATTTACCCTATGCACACCCTAGTACGCTCTTCTTTTGCGCTGTGTAGGGGGGGGGTCTACTACCACTACTTCGGAAGCAGGGAACATTAGTGTGTGTTGTTTTTTTTCGTTCCGGATCAGCTCCCATTAGTGTGTGTTGTTTTTTTTCGTTCCGGATCAGCTCCCTGAGCAGATTTTATGATGTTGGTTGCGAGGGGAGCAGGGCTGTAAACTTAGAGGGAGCAGAATTTATCCGGGCAGAGGGCAGTAACTTTTAAATAGAGGCCGTCCATCCAGGTGTCACACCGTATTCGAGGTTCGTAACCCTGACACCTGGCACGAAACCCACGTCCCGAATCCGATTTTAGTCTCCCCCAATAGATTTTCCCCACCTCCGATTCGAAAATTGAAAACTGGGTTATTGTGGGTTTTGCTAGATTTTACTGTGTTTTTATTTAATTTCATAGTTTTCACTTTTTATTAAATAAAGTTGATGGGGGTGAGGGGGGAGTGAGATGTGGGCAGTGGAGAGAGTCATTGTCAGTGGATGGTCACTGTCCATGTTTAAATCCACAAGCGGGCACTAAAGATTGAGGAGAGTGAAAGAGAGAGAGCAAGTGAGAAAAAAGGAGCTGTTGGGGAGTGAAAAGGCAAGCCAAGCCATGCCAACATTCCAATGACAGGCAAGCCCATTCAATTCAATTCAGTTCAGTTCAATTGCTCTTTTGTATGTAAGTGCACCTCTACCAAATCCCCCCCCCCTCCCCCCGAAAAAGTTAATAATGCCTTTTGAATACAAAACTCACCTGCCATTTCTTCCCAAAAAGCTACTTATGCCTTTGGAACAACGAAAAGCCAACCAATCACTGTGTTTCAATGGATTCTCTCATCCATCCGCTCCTTCATCCATCAACCTGATTCTTCATCAATTCATCTATCCGCTTATTCGTTCATCCATTCATATTCCTCACCTGTCCATCCTATTCACCTAATTCCACATTTCTGCTTGCTCTGCGTGCAGTTAAATGGATTTTTAATGCGTCGATATTGATCATATTAAGTTTGATGTGTGTGATTATTTATTATTTTTCTTTCTTTCTTTCTTTCTTGAAAATGATGAAATAATTTGTATTCATAAAAGCTTAATTGGGATTAAATAGCAATTGAAATGTTTGAGTATGCAAACTTAGTTACTTTTCTAAGACATTGTATGTAAAATTCATCTGTTTGTGTATTGCTTGGTGGGAACTAGCATATCTATGTTTATCATTTTTGGAGTGATTTCAAAGGTTATTCTGAAATAAAATACAATGAAATGATAATCAACATTAGATTTCAAATTGATATAATTGAAGGTTTGGATTAATGAATAAACAAGTTGATAAATATAGGTGTTTATAAGGTTGCAGTATACATAAACCAATGCTGATAAGTGTAAAAGTCAATTAACTAGTAAAATTAACAATTTGTTAAAATAATTACATTAACGAACCAATTATTATTGTTTAAATTATTAAGATTAATTAGTATTCTAATAGATGTTTTGGTACAAAAGGA